ATATATATATATATGTATATATATAAAAGTGTGGTTTTAGTAGTTACTCTAATAGTTATACATCAATGAGTATTATTATTTTGGCATGAAGATATTGATCAGAAGGTTGTAATAAATTAGATACTTGACTAAAAAAAATTTATGACAATTAACTAAATTGAATTTTATATTTGATGGATAACTACCTATAGAAACATAATATTAAAAACTCATTCATATATATATATGTGTATATATATATATATATCAATTATCCTATTTTATATTACTATTAGCCTATAAGTATCACTTTTGACATTTCAACCTATAAATGCGAACAAGTAAATGAATTTATTTTAATATATCTCTTACTTAACTAGCTTGCAATTTGCTATGCAGCCCCCCAAATGTTGTGATCATTACCTTTATTGTATCATTTTTCCTAGTCTTTACCCTTACAAAAGATATTCCAGATGTGGAAGGTGATATGAAGTAAGTTATATTTTTCACCATATCCATTTATAAACTCAAAATCTTAAAATTTTTCATTTCAATCACCCCTTTGATTTTTTTTTAATAGCCTATACTTCCGGCATCATTTAACACAATGTTCAACAATATTATAGGCACAATATACGAACATTCGCTGCGATATTCGGACCCAAAAATATTGCATTACTTGGCACTGGTATGCTATTCGTAAATTATATGGTTCCTATAGTGGCTGCAATTTATATGCCTCATGTAAGTAATTTTTTGTTCCCATACCTCTTTTGGAAAATATTTGATGAAGAATTAATGTTAGGGACGACACCAACTCAAATTTTAATTTTTGTGTATCATTTGATGTGACATGTGAGTTATAATTTTTAAATTAGTGGGTATTAAAAATATTCTCTCATCAATTAATGATGACATTATATATACCAATAAAAAAAATGACAACTCATATGACACATCAATTGGTATACGAAGTTAGAATTTGAGTTGGTGTCCCTAGCACTACTCTTTCCTGTAGAGATTTCATCACTGCCTGATCGCAAATTTCCTTAAGAATTGATTCAAGTTCTTTCCCTTACTTGTTTGCAGGCTTTTAAGCGTCATGTAATATTGCCCGCTCATTCAATCCTCATATTGTTGTTATTTTCACAGGTTAGTCAAATATAAATCAAGCAAATATTAAATTAATTTAAAAGACTAACTTACACATTATTTCCCTTGTCTGCTTTCAGTTTAAGAAGTTGGAAAAGGCAAATTATACCAAGGTAAAATTACGCAGCTTGAAGTAACATTAAACATTTATCCTAATGAGTATTGAATTGTATTGAAGTTGATTACAAGTTTGCCTTTTGTTTTTTTCTTGATAATTTTGCCCTCATTATATATGCAGGAAGCAAGCACAACTTTCCACACGTTCCTTTGGAAGCTTCTCATATTTGAGTTTCTCTTGATTCCTTTCATTTAGCAAATTACTGCCAAATTTTTAATTGTTTTTTCCGTTATCCGTAGAAGACAGTGAGTGATCACGAGAGATTTGTGAGATATTCGTTAAGATATCAACCAACCAAAGACAGTGAATATATTTGTGAATGGTGTAAGTCAGTGAATATATTTTACCTTGTGGGTTGATTGGTGTTGGAGCTGCTGCCTTAAGCAGAGAATATCAACCAACCAAAGACAGGTGAAAAGTACAAAACTTAAAAGACCGAGTAGTAAATAGGCCAATATGAAGTGCAGCGGCCAAAAAAGAGAAACGTGTTAAGACATAAATCGAAGATACCATGTATACATATGTTGGATAATTAATACGTATATGAAATAAATGAATAACAAATCAATACATGAGCATTATATACCGGTGAAAATCAAAAAAAGACAACCATGAATTACTAACATTTATCAACAATAAGAAGAGACTTTTCTAAGCACTATAAAAAACAACACAAAGCAACAACACAACAATAAATCAATATCCTCAGCATCAATAAAGCTTATGGATATTAATTAATAGTAGTACCTAAAATACTGCCTTGAACAACGAATCCCAGCCAACCAAAGAGAAGTGAAAGAGGCAGAAATGAAGACAATGAAGCAGTAAATAGGCAAAGGTACAGTAAAGGAGTAAATGATCAACAATAGAGTAGAAAGGGAAGGATGTCAGATGCAGTAGAAATGGGTGGAGAGTTCAGAGAATGAATTAATACATACTAATAGTGTTCTACACATATATAAAGACCAAGATAACCAATAAGAACGTCACACCTGGTAATCTAAAGTCGGTGAAGAAAGACCGAGAAAATATTTGTAAAACGACACTAAAGTAAAGAGGAGAGAAAAGATAAACGACAATCACTGAGGCTAAATTTTTTACTACCTCTTTTTTTTCTTTTTTAAATTTTCTGCAAGTTCCAGAATAAAGAAAGAATAAAAAAATCACTAACCCAATTAATACCTCTGCAGTAAAAAGGACGAAAATCATTAACTAAATCCGTTCACTTCGCTGATTCGAGTTTAAAATTTGAGTTAAAATGTGATTTTATGTGAGAGTTTTATACTGTAAAAAAAATTTAAATTTGATTATTTATAAGAGCTTTTTACTGTAAAAAAACTCGAATTCTAAACTCGAATCAACGAAATAAACGGGATTAAGAGTACAAATCAGCGTCCTAAGTGCTACAAATTATAAGTAATCAGTCAACATAAATCGTTTTTTTCCCAGATTTTTTGCATGTTTCAGAGGATAATCGCTTAGCATGAATAATTTTTTTTTTCCTTCCCCCCACCACAACCCCCCCTCCAGACTTTGTGCATGTTCTAGAAGATAAAAAATAGAAAAAAAGATCACCAACTCATTTAATGCTTCTGTAACAAAAAGGAAAGAGATCAGCGATTTAAAAGTACTACAGATCACCAAATGAATAAATGCAAAGCAAATTAATCTAACCAAAACTCAAACTCGAAATGAGGGAGCATCAAAATCTGTAAAGGGATGAAAAAATCTGCACTCCACCTTTAAAAATTAGCCACGAACAAAATAGAGAATCATTGGCAAACATATACACATTCCAAAACACAAAATAACAGTAAATTATAACCAAACTTCAAAAATATCAGCAACTAAATAATTTTTTTAATTTAAAAAAAAAACTACATAGAAATCACAAATCAGCCCGCGAAAAACATAGAAAAAGGACACAAATTTATTTAATCAAAAAAAATTACACAGAACAAACAACATTAATCTGACGAAGAAGACATAAAAAGATCAAGAACACCACGAATCAAAACAACAAAGTAGAAAATCCAACCAAAATCCGTAATGGAAAACAACAGAAACATGCGTCAAAACAACAAAAATCCCAACCAAAATCCCTAATTGAGAAAGAAGAGAAGGAGCAGAGGCCAATGAAAAATATCTGCACTGAAAACATCAACCAAACAAAGATCAAATAAGAAATGAAAACAATAAAGAAGATCAGAACGAAAGAAGCAGCCAAAGCAAAGGGCCAAATGAAAAGGCGGCCGTAGAGAGCAAAACCGAGCAAAACAATAGGGAAGCAAAACAATGAAACCGTAAACCGACAAAAACACAAAAATCACCCACGCACAGGAAAAGAAACGGAGAAGAAAGGGAAATGGCAAACTTGGAAAAAGAACGCACCAAAAAGACAAAACTGTCCACGCTCAGGGAAAAAAAAAAAAGAAAGAAGAAAAGCAAAGGGTGACTGTACAATGAACAGGCTATTGTGAGTGGGTGAACAGTAGGGCAACACGGTAAAATCAAGAAAAAAGGGCAAAACGGGAATTTTACTATTTATTTACAATAAATGCCCCCTCTCCTTTAGTATATAGTAATAATGTGCATTTTATTTCAATTGTCGTGACTTTGCAATTAACAACATAAGAAATTTTAATTAATAAAAAATTTTAATTGATGTGACATTTTAATTAACTTATCATAATATTATTAGATGAATATGAAAAAGACAAAATTAAAAGGCATAGGAGTCAATTCAACCCAAACAACCCAAAATTACAAGCATATAAATAATTGTGCCGGCTGGTGTAGTCAATGTAGTTGTGAGATTGTTAATTTACATTTTTTTTTTTTTTGTTTTTTAGATTTTACGCATCATGTAGTCAATGTAGTTGTGAGATTGTTAATTTACATTTTTTTTTTTTTGTTTTTTAGATTTTACGTATCGAATTATATGGCAAACAGGAATAAGAGGTAGTTGCCCGTGTTGTTTGCTAAAATAATCTTGCAAGCAACAGAAATTTATTAGACGACGTTTTTCAATGTAATCGTAATTTGTTTGAAGACGGGTCTGCAGTCATTATCGCTTAGTCATTTTAACAACCATCAAAATTAAAAATTAAAGAGATCATATAAAAATGAAGAAGTATTTCATAAACATAAACGGAGAACTGGCAGAAGATAGCAAAAAAACAAAAGCAAAAACAAAATAAAATGTTTAGTGAAATTTTATCATCATCGTCGTCGTCGTTATTATTGGCCATCATCATTATTGGGCTTTTTAAGCCATCCATTTGAAACTCTTAAAGCCTTTGGTGGCACTTGAGGCAGCTAGCTCATAATTGAGTGTATAAGTGTGTATCCACCAGCATTCTAATTTTGTTGGTTTTATTTTTTATGTAAAGTGGAGCCTAGGTCCCTCATCGTATTTAAAAAACATTATAATATCTAAAAATATTTGAACTTCGTTCATTTTACTGATTTGAGTTTTTAATTTTAGGTTTTTATAGTAGAAAGCTTTTAAAAAATGTCAAATCTAACTTCTTCTGCTACAGTGAAAAATTCTCAAAAAATGTCACATCTCAACTCAAATTGAAAACTTGAATCCACGAAGTAAACGAAACTTGGTTTCAACACTTTGTCCACTTTTGTCCTTTTACCTGGTAATTGGTTTTCTCAGCTTACACACGAAGCTCACAATCTCTAACTTTTCCTTTGACTTGTGTTGAAACAAAAAATATAAAATAGTAAAAATAAAAAAAAATAAAAAAAATAAAAATATATATATAGTCACGTGAGAAGTTGGATAACTTCTTGGAGAAAGTAGATGCGTGGACAAAAATAAAAATGTGTTAGTGGAGAGTCTGATGAAAAGCAATTTGGAAAAGTTCACAAAACTGTTACATGGAAGTTATCTTCCACACCAGTGATCCACGTGAGTAGAGATAATCCTCAAGAGATAAAAGTAGCCAATCATGTTCAAACATTAGGTTTCAATTTTTTTTTTTTTTTTTTTTTTTTTAAAGAACCTCCGGAAGAAATTAAACTAGAGTGGTAAGTTTTAGAACTCTAAAAAAAATCATGAGGATGGTAAGACTGCAAGATTTAGAATCTCTAAAAAAATTAAAATAGAGTTACAAGTTTTAGAACTTTACAAAATTATTTGGTTACAAAATTTAGAACCTTTAAAAAAAAAATTAAAATAGAATTATAAGTTTTAAAACTCTATAAAATTATGAAATTGTAAGATTTAGAACATCCAAAAATGTAAAAAGGAGTCTGATCGTTATGATGCAGCCCAAAAAATATATATGTGTATACATACGTATAAATGTGATGAATCTAATCACGATGGTGTGGTTTAAAATATTATTATAATTTTAGGTCTGATTTATAAAGTGCAATCACTTACAGAAGGGTGTCTCCGTTTCCTGCAAAAAAAAGATTAGTCAAAAGACAAACAAAAAATTGACATATGATGAAAGGCCGAAAAGTAATTACCTTTTTTTTTTGGAATTGGAAGATGGCTCTGTACGTACACCAAAGGCAGAATGCAATTAAAACTTCGTCGAGACAATTGATGATTTGATGCATAAAAAAAAAATATGTTGACTTCAATGTTGCCGACAATATATAGCTCGCTTTGATGGAGTTGTGACTTTCTTCTCTACACATATATATGTGTGTATATATATAAGTTAGCAAAAGTATCACCTTTTTTTTTTTTTTGAAATCCAAACCGATTTGGAAAAAAAATAAATGCGTGTATCACAGATCTGTTAGGATGTGATCAGTTTCAAAAATAACGGAAAAGAAAAATCTAAGATTATAATTTGCCCCAAAAATTCAAAAAGGTCATCACCTCAGATTAAAATTTACAAAATTTCACTTTAAATTTCAAAATTTCACTTCCTTAGTATCGAAGAGCCATCTTAAGAAAAGAAGTTTATTCATCAGTATTGGTCAGATTAAGATTTTAAGACATACGGGTTGCAAACAAAAAATTATGAGGTTGCAATTTTTTTGTATTTAAAAGAACCTCTGGAAGAAATCAAAATAGAGTTGCAAGTTTTAGAATTCTAAGAAAAATCATGAGGATCGTGAGGTTACAAGATTTAAAACCTTTAGAAAAATCAAAATAGAGTTGCAAGTTTTACGACTCTAAGAAAAATAACCTCAACAAGATATGTAGGCAACTCAGCTAAATTTACTGAGTTTAACCGCAATTTTAAATCAACCAAAATTTCTCAAATTCACACAAAAATAGAGTTTACTGATTTAATTGGAATTAAAAGGTTTTTTCTTGTACCAAAGGATTATAATTAAAAGGTTATTCTTATAATCTTAAATGAGTCGAACTAAAAATAATAAATTTTTATGCTTATTAAATTCTAATATAAGTGAAATTATATTGTATGTGAAATATTATTTCAATATTAATAAATATTTTTACTCACCAGCTATTATCTGCCGATGTTGCAAAGGACTCCTCTCATGACCATTTGTTGATACTAATTCAAGCCCCAGCAGAACCAAAATAATCAATTTCTCCATATTTTGTTCAAAGTGCCCGACCAAAAAAAATAGATCCAGGCTGTGGGGTTCTATGGTGAAAGAAGATTCTCAAAACTCTTCAAATACGGCCAACAAAACCGTAATTGCATTACGGTATTTTTCACTTGTTTGCAACTTACGTTAAAATGACATCTTCAGCTTTTTATAAGGGAATAAGACAAATGTTTTGAATCCTTATCCTTAATTATTTTTTTGAATAAATGGTGAGACAAAGCAACTAGCATCAAGGTAAAACAAAACATCTAAGGATTAAAATATATATATATATATATATATATATAT